GATAGTACCTTGGTAATCCGGTGGAGGACCACCTGTGCCGGCCATCACCATGGATGACTATCCCATCCAGGGCCTCTTGGCCCTCTCTGTTTTGTTGGGGCCATTGTTCAGGTTCATGTTCCCGTTGGGGTTCGGACGTGTGTGCACGTCCCGCATGTTGATGCGATCAGGAGCAGTCAAGTCTGGCCCCACACCTGCGGAACAGGCAGAGATAGACCGCAGGTTGGCAGAGAAGAAAAAAGAGAAAGAAGCCAAGAAGAAGCAGAAAGAAGAAGAAGAAGAAGTAGAACAGGAAGAAGAACAAACCTTGCAAAGACGTCGTCACGTTAATATCCCGGAAAGTAGCACAGCCAACCGACTCCCCGTTGAACCTTTGAACTGGGCTGACCAATATTATTACTCCAACGAAATTTTAAAGGAGTCTGAAGAAGAACGTGATCTGTTCCTTGCTAAGTTAGCTACGGTAAATGACACCGTTGAGCGGAACCTGATGATGGAAGAAAAAAAGGCAGAGTTGAACAATAAACTGCTAGCCACCAGAAGACAAGAAATTGATGAAAAGAAAAGGCTGCAGGCAGAAGGGGAGAAATTACAGAAAGCTCTAGAGGAGCAAAAAGATAAACCCTCTGCGACTGAAGAACAACTAGCACTGCTAAGGGAGGCCGTGCTTAACACAAGACAAGATATGAACTTAATGCGCCAGACGCTGCAAAGAGTTGAGACCCATCGGGTTGAGTTCGAGACTATTTGGAACAACTTCTTAGAAAAGTCTGCTAAGGACATGGACCATCATGTTCAGACATATATCCAGGTTTTGGATGATCATGTCACTAAAACATTCACTCCGGAAGTCGTAGAGAGGATTGTAAAGGGAGATGGAGGCGATGGGGGAGATGGTGACGACGATGGCGACCGTGACAGGAAGGAGAAGAAGAAGATTGGGGATCCTAAAGAAAAACTTCCTCAGGAATCTGGGCAGGTTAGCAAGATCAAGCTTAAACTGCCCTGGACCTATAATGGGAAAAAGGAAGAGAGTGTCTTACATTGGGCAGCCGCAATTGAAACCTACGTATACGGACAGCGTATCCCATATTGGGACAGGGTATTGATGGCAACATCGTGCATGGGAGGCGACGCCATGAGCTTTGCCATCTTGCTGCAAAAAGAGGCGGGATGCAGCTCTATGGTAGAGTATTCGCAGCAAACGCGAATCGGCGACTTCCTTTAAGTTAATAAGAAAAAGATTCGAAGACAAAAATCTAGCAAGACGTACAGAAATGTTAATTCTCAGCCTTCCTGACAGGAAGTGGAAGAGCACTTCTGCACTAAAGGCCACAATAAATGAATTGTTGCAATGCCCTGATCATGGATTAACGCCAGCCCAAATTTTGAATAGCTTTGCAAGAGCACTCCCGGATCCCCTAAGAATACAACTTTATCCCCGTACCAAAGAAGAGGGGATGACATATGAGAACTTCGGCAAAATCGCCATAGATCATGCTGGCTTCCTCGCTGAAGCGAAGTATTGCCATTACTGGAAAGATCTGCAAGCGGGAAAAAGATGGCAAAACCGCACTATCTCAGGGTCTATACCTGGGAAAGATAATCTCYTTCTAACCTTTGAAGAAGGAGGTGCCGAGACCATCTCCTGGGATCAGGTTGACTATGGTCTCGATGAACYCAACAGACCGGTAGCTCAGGAGGGGAGTTACGCGGTTGTTGCAGCCCGCGGGGGAGGGCGTCATGGAAGAGGGCGTGGCCAAGGAAGAGGTCGCGGCCGTGGTGGACGAGGATTCGGCACCCAGAGGGGTGGTGGTGAAGGAAGCCACTACGCGGGAGGAAGGGGAAATGGTCCCTCATACGGTGGCCGTGGTTCTTACTCCACCTGGGGTAGAGGAAGAGGCTCATGGTACAACAAGTGGGATAAACCGTACCCACCTCATCCAGGCCTACCCGAAGGGGAGCCTTGGAAGGAGCTTGGCATAACAGAAAAAGTTTGGGCCGAAAGGAAGAAGGCTGATCAATGCCTCAAATGTGGGGACCCCGACCACATTGTCCCCTATTGCCCTGATTATAGGGGGGCAAAAGGGAACAACCAGTAGAGGTGCCAGTTGCCTCTACAGGGGCTTCGAGTGTTGAAAAATCAGAATCCTCCCACTCGAAGGCCCCAATGGCAGAAACTGAAGAGGAAGGAAGTCCCCATCTAGTGCACTGTCCAGAGGTGGCAAAAGTATGCATCTCTCTAGATGGATCCCTCGCTGGCGTGGGTGATGAGTTGGCCGCTCGTCGCCAAGCCTGGACTGAAATGCGTAAAAAGAAAGGACAACTAATAATTGCAGATCT